ACATATGTTTTGAAGTAGTTTTTGTTGTTTAGTTCAAAATTTTAGTTAAATTCTAGTTAGTTAACATATAGTATAATATTGGTTTTAAGAGTAGAATTTAGTGGTTCATCACTTACATATAACACCCAGTGCTCATCCCAACATGAGATGCCTTCCTTAATACCCATCACCCATTTAACCCATTTCCCCACCCACCTTCCCTCCAGCAAACCCTCAGTTTGTTCTTTATAGTTAAGAGTCCCTTATGGTTTGTTTCCCTCTCCCTTTTTATTTTCTCTTTTCCCTATGTTCATCTGTTTTGTTTCTTAAATTCCACATATAAGTAATAAGTCTTTTACTTAAAATATTTCCTCTTGTTGAAATAGGAGTTTTAATTTTATTAGGTCCTAAATGCTAATTTTAATATCCAATTTTAGGTCCTAATTTTATTAGGTCCTAAATGCTATGCATCAGAAACACTCAGAGGGCTTTATAATAAACAAAATATTATGAGCCTTCATCCCAAAATGACAAAATGAGGATCTTAGGTGGAGGAGTCCAAGAATCAATATTTCTTAAAAATCCTCTTTTATTGTCATCTTTTAGAATCACTGATAGAGCTATGATAGAGGTATTTGGTGTGAATGATTAAAAGTAATATTTAGGACTCTGGGATTCAGGTAGCACTATGGAATGTATTTACACGCATGCTTCTCCTATCTTGTCTCCTAAAACTGTATAATCAAGAAGAATGAATGAAGTACCCACAATTTAATTTTTAGGCAAAATTGTGAGATAGAGAATACACCAAATAATAATGGATGAAAAATAAATCGAACCCAAAATGACTGTGGAAAACCACAATGGTGTCCAGGTGAAGAAAGCCAAAGGACCCATGGGTGGCAAGTTGTATTCTGCAATTCCCCGTCTCCCAAATCAAGAAATAATTATTCTCAGAAGGATGAGACACCCAGAGAGGGAGTTTTTGCAGGCATATGAGTATGAAGTGGGCAAGGAAGAGAGGCAAAAAAAAAAAAA